ATTCTTGGGTTGTTCATGTGTCAGATACTTTTATACATGCAAGAGATACAAAGAATAGAATACTCTCCCTGAATTTAAGGAACTTGGTGGCTTTTAGAGGAAAATCAATAAATAAATAAATAAGTAAATAAACTGTGAGTAAATTAATGTATCATTCTTGGTATTTTCTGTTCCATTAATCATCTTGATTTCTTTTGTCCTATTAATTTTTCTGCCTACATATATCTCTAATCCATCAACCTTTCCTCATCATCACTGTTTCCACCTTAAATCCAAGCTGCTATCATCTCTTTTTAGACTACTGGTATCCCCATATCCACTCTTGAGTCCTCAAGTCCATTGTTCTCTCAGTGGCCAGAGATAACTTTGAAAGGCAAAGCTGACCGTACTGCATGGGGTCATACTGTATGGGAACTCTCTGTACTATCCTCACAATTTTTTTGGCAAATTTGAAATTATTCTAAAATTTAAAAAGGTTATTAAAAATTTTTTTTAAAGAAGGCAAAACTGAGTGTATAAACCTGCTTAAAACTGTCACTGGTGCATGTATGTGTGTTTACACTTAGAGAAAAATTCCAAATTCTTCCCATAGCCTACAAGACCTATGTGATCTGGTCCTGTTTGCCTTGTGTAACGCTCTCCCCTCCCCTGCCCCAGTATCATGGATCCTCTATGTCACACACCCTGAGGCTCCTTGCCGACAAGGGCCAAGCTGCTGTCTTTACTCTCCACCTGGCAAACTCCTCAACCTTCAGATTTTAGCTCAGTGTCACTTCCTCAGGACCGACAACATTCTTACACCATCCTGTGTTGTTTGGGGGACATTTGTCAATTGCAATTACATTTGTGTTTATGTGTGTGTGTGTTTTTAAAAAAATGTCTATCCCACCAAACTAGATGCTTCAGGAGAGCTGAGGCCATGGGGTTGCTTGCTTCTGTTGCTTAGCACAGTACCTGGCACATTTTAGGACTCATAAATTGTTGAATGAATGAGTAATTAAATGAGGAGAAAATAAACTGTTTTGTTCATCACTAGAGAATGCTACACACCCAAGCAATCCAAATAGAAGGAATTATAATGTTGCAATTGGCTTAAAAATTTTAAAACACAACTAAAATTTATGTACATGTAAGGCATTGAAAAGTTGCCAGAACTTTTCCCCATCTTCTTATAGTTAGGAAAGACTCATGAAGAATTACTGACTAACTCTAAGTTGAGAACAGGAAAGGAAAAGGAAGAACTCTGAAAAATATTTTAAACCTTCTACTGTATTCATCTGTTGACTAAATTTTAAAAGTGCTAGTATAGACATTTCAAATTACATTTAGTAAAGTAAAAAAGTAATTTTAGCTTAACTTTTGAAAGACAGTGCTTTATTTAACATGGTGTGACATACTTGCTTTGCTAAAAAAATTGTGAGTCAGAAGGCAAAAAGGGATTCAACCAAGACGTTGTACTATGATGAATTTCTCTCTCTCCCTCTCCATTTAAATGAAAAATGTTCCTACAGTTCTGTAATATTTTTAATCATTGGAAGCCTGTCCAGTATATTTACTTCCCATGATAGAGCTTAAATAGTCAGTGATTTCATCAGCAAAGAGACAAAAAGGCACCAAGTAGTATATATGCTGGACCAAAAACCCATCACTTAAAAATAATGGCCTTATTTGACTACTTAATGATATATGTAGCCTGACTTCTCCCAGTAAAAGGGAGCTCATTTTACTTGTGTGATAGGCACAGGAAGGCCCTCAGATATATAGAACTTATGGGACCCTTGAGTCCAGGAGAAGATCGCAAAGAAAGGCCTTGCCAATTCCCTAACAGCAAACGTGAGAAAACCTGGTGAAACGCTCTTTCCTCCTGTCACTGCCTCCTTGCAAATCACCCCTTCCTGGTGGAACTTGAATGGTGATACATAGAAAAATCTGGAACTATACACATCAAACTGTTAACAGTGGTTGCCATTAGAGAGTGGAAATGAAAGAAATACATACATTTCTTTTGTTATTAAAAAAGCCATTAGTGTTTTAAAAACATAGTTTATAGACATATTAACTTGGTTTTCTCAACTGTTTAGCTTGTGAAATTTACTGTATTTGACTTGATATTTTTTATGTTATTTTAGTTTACTGAAAAATATTTTAAAATTATTAATATTTCTTATTTTACTGGCTCCTGATCCCCTTGAGGTTAAGAAAATTGAAGCCTGGATTCCCCCTATTTAGCAGATCCTCTCAGGGCAAAAGCTGCCTTCATTGTTCCATTTACTACTCTGGGTTTCAGATGTCAGTTTCTGTGGTAGTTGTTTTCCTAATCTATCTAGCAAGTTTAGTTGTTTTCAGGAAGAATGTTCGTCTAGGTACCCAGTCAGCCATTGTGCTGGAAACGAACCTCTCATAATTTTTGCACCATATATACACTTTGTGTATTTTGTTATTTGTCAGAACTATGAAATGGTGTATGCCATTAGTGCTGGTATGCCATTCACTAGAGCAACCTTCCCTTCACCAAGTAGTATCCTTAGACTTTTAGCATGTATTTGATTTGATGAGTTCTTTGCAAAATGCAAATAAATATTATAGTTTTTCCCAGGAAAAATTATGACTGGTGTGCCTATGGTGTGGAACTGTGTGGGGCCTTGACTGCCCATGAAGCTACGTATCAGAGCAAATTTAAATTGACTTTTTGAATCCACTCTTTGCCCTCCTGCATGTACAACTCTCTTACCACACTTTCAAGCTAAAATTGGATGGTTTCACACAGGTGCCCTTACTAGGCATCCTAATTTTCATAAGGCCCGCCTTATCCTTAACTGGCTGCACTTGTCCTCAGTGCGGCCTTATCCTTAATTGGCTTAAATGAGAAAATAACAGCAAAACTTCATTCCTGAAGTCAGGAGGGTATAAACGAATCCTTGTTGCTTTTTATTATCCTTAAATAGTTCTGAAGGAAACCAATTTTTATGGTTTGTCTAAAGAGCACTTAGACTATCCATTTGACCAAAATAAAATCTAAATCCCAAATGAAATCAGAGAGCTGAATACCTGGATTTAATTGACCTTCCCATAGAATGATTCTACCAAAGTGCTCTTTGGGGTGATGCCATCGACTCATGAGTAGCAGCCCATGAAACAGCATCTCTGTGTTTCCCTAAGAAATGTTCAGGATGTTCGTTACATAAGCATTGCGTTTCTGCTCCATGGACTCCCAATGGTGAATTTCCTTCTGAGTTCCAAGAGCAGGCTGGTTGTAGACACTATGAATTCAGGGCTCGATTGTATCTCCCTTTCTCCTGTGGCTACTGGAAAGCTTAGCATCTTGAGAGATATTCCGCTCCCCTGTCAAGTGTACACAACTTTATGGAATATAATTTTGTTTATAAATATTGCAGGCTTGAACTTACTCTCCTAACCTTACTTTTCCTTTAACTCATTTTTTTCCATATTATAAATACATATTTCTAAAACCACTTTGAATATTTTTTGGAATATAGTGGGTATATACAAAATCATTTGATTACTGTTTCATATATTACAAATCAGTGTATAACCATGTTTTAGAAATGAAATTACACAATTACATATTTACTTTTGCTTATATAAACATTATCAAGATCTAGGAAATTAGATTGCTGTAAAATTCGCTTGTTTCTAGACCCAAAGGAATAAATATGCAAAGACAGTGGAAACCATTATTGTGATTTCTGAGAAGGACTGCAGCTTGTTCCCTCATTTGTTTGAATAGGCAGATTTTCAAAAGTAAAATTATTCTCCCTAAATATTTTGTAGATTTCAGTAATCTGATAAATGAGCTATTTATTCTTTGTCTCTCTGGTACCATACAGTAGATTACCCATAGCAACAATCCTTTTCAGACTTAATAAGACCAACACCGTATTTATTAGGAAAATAATACCACCAGGTTAAACAAACTGACTGTTGGTTTTGTGTATTTACTCTCTTTCAAAGAGATCTGTTAAACCTTCACTGTGTTCTGTGTTGTACATCATTAGGGAGGCTGAATTGGAGTATGACTGTGATTCTGAATGTGCTGTTTTATGGTATGTTTAGAATAAGAAAGATGATGAACGAATAAAGCTTTACAAATAAAGTACTATTTTGTGTATTGAAAATAGGGCCAAATTCTTCTCTGAACAGTAGAAATCAGATATATTATGGTAAATATTACCACTTCCGTCTATAGAGGATAAATAGAATACTTAATATTGGCCCAGGAAAACACGTTTCAGTTTTTCTTGACTCTAGAAATTACATTCATATGGAATCTGTAAGAAAGGCTGTGCCTCAAAAAAAAAATTATAGAGATATTTTCATAAGAANCACGTTTCAGTTTTTCTTGACTCTAGAAATTACATTCATATGGAATCTGTAAGAAAGGCTGTGCCTCAAAAAAAAAAAAAGAGATAGTTTCAGAATTATAGAGATATTTTCATAAGAGNGGCTGTGCCTCAAAAAAAAAATTATAGAGATATTTTCATAAGAAAACAGATTCTCTTCAAAGAATATGAGTTGCTGTTGAAATGTAAATTAAACCCAAGACCTTTTCATGTCAGTCATTGAGAAATGTAGTATTTAAAATCATGAAATGTTAGAATGCAAGTATTCCAATATCCTTATTTTATAGCAATGAATGCTTTTAGAAATTGCTACAAAAGCCTAGTGTCTCTCATCTCAAATGTCCGTGTGCAATATATAAAAAAAAATTTAACTGAAACTTAAGTTTCACCCTACACGGTGTACTAATGGGAATATAGTAATTGTTTACAAGGGTAGATTGATTACTAATTCCATTTGTGATATACTAGAATGGAGTGCATTTTTTCTGTTTGATTTTTAATGTAGGTCAGTAATAGAGCTCTGCACTTATGAATTAATTTAACTTTTTCTAATAAAATCTTTATTAAATATCTGTTTTTCTTAGGTAAATTTTTTGGTAGTTTTAGCACTTAAATACCTTTTTTTGTTTATATTCACAGATTCTGGAACTTTTCAAAGCCTGACCCTCTTCTTGAAATAGTGGACCATCATACAGAGTTTACCTGTGGTTTAGATTTAAGTCTTCAGAGCCCTACTCAGGTAATGGCTACGATCTCTTGAGGTTTTTTCTTCCTATACAGTTCACAAATAGATAGCTCTGTGTGTGGCATGTGTTGCTTTTATGAACAAAATTGTTGCCTTTAGGGAAGAGCAAGGTACATATACTTAATCATCCGGATCTCTTTTGCTGTAAAACTGGAGCATTTGAAATACTAGGGAAGGAGAGGTATCCAGAAACTTGACATACCTCTTTCCTCTTGAAAGACTGCCTTTTCTGAGAGGAAAAGGAACCTTGCCCTAAAGTACTGTGCCTTACATATTGAAGGCTTGGAGTAGACCTCTCCCAGTGGAAAGGGTGACAAGAGAAGAATGGAATGGGGAAGGCTTGTCACCAGAGTGTGTGGTCCCCGATTCAGCTGTCCCACAAGCAGTTGAGATGATGGGCAGGTTACTTCCCCCTCAGGACTGTCACCCTCATCTCGATGCCCCATGTTGAAAGAGAGGCTTCAGATGGGGAACGAAGTAAAGGAGAATGTTTTAATTAATAACCTTTATATTTCCCACTTTTTGTTCTGTTGAGGACTTGAGTGTTTAAACATTTAGAGGTGTTTTTAAAGCTGTGTGAGTTTTGGAAACTCAGGATCAGAAACACTAGAATATGTTGAATGATAAGGCACTTTATAACAGACTGTGTGAAAACACTAAGAAATCAGTAAAACAATATAATACGTGGAAATTGTAGAGTATGACTAAGAAATTATGTTTTTATGACAAATTTTAGAAATTAGACAAAACCAAATCCCATTTCTCATTACTGTGTCCTTAAATTTAAATGAATACACAGGCTTTTTTTAATTTTAGGAATTTAAAACATAATTCTGAGTTTAAAATATTCTCACTAGACATTAGAATGGCCTCATTAGAATAATTGTTGAAAAATGACTTAATAGCAACGAAGAAGAGAAGAAGCTGAAAGAGTGATAGACAAAATGGCATTATCTTTAATGTAAATACAATGTGCTTCAAAAGAACTCATTTCTTTTCTGAGAAATAAATCTATTATAGATGATTTTTTAATAAAATATTCATATCTGTTTGCTCTCCTAGTTAAGAAAAAAGCTGTACCTATTGAAATATGGCCATACCAAACAAAGAACCCTAAATAAATATTTTCCTCTCCTATATTTATTTGTTAACCTATGTTCCATGAGTCCCAAACTGTGGCCTGAGGCAGCACGTATGCCTCCTCGACTTCCTCAGTCCTGGCAGGTCCTCACCAGGGTCTGAGAAGTGCCAGATGTTTTCTAAATCTCCACACATGGACCGCCTTATTGAAAACAATTCTGTTTTTAGAGGATTTATTAATTGGATTTTATGTATCTTAAATAATAAGAGAATTTATTACAGGTCATTAATTTTGTGTGTAGGCTGGTGACTGCTACCCATCTCTTCCAGTTCAACTAAATTCCATCTGTACTAAGGAAATAGTTGCTACTGAGAGCAAATAGGAGTGGAGAAGCAGCAAGTTCACTGGCATAACGTACAGTTCCCCTGTGCTAGAAGTCTCTGCGGAGTTAATTCATAGTGGGACAGAATCTTGGGATTAGAGGGGACCTCAGAAGTAAGACCTCTCCCTCTCATTCCTTATTCTTTCCACCGATATTTTCATATGCTGGACCTTGTGCTAGGCACTGGGATTCAGTGGGGAATGCTTCATAAAGCAGTTAGTCCACTGTTGTATGAGATAATCTCACAAATGAGTGTAAATAGTTGTGACAAGCCTATGAAGGAGAACTACATTGTTCCTCAAGAGTTCATAATCAGGATAGCTATTTGACCTATTTAAGAAATCTGTAAGGAAGTGAGGATCACCTGAGATCTGAAGAGTAGGCTTTAACTATATGAAGAGACAGAGGAAGATAGATTGTAAACAGGCAAAAGTAACTATATTACAGACCCTGTGATGGGAGGGAGCATGGATAGTACTTGAAAATGAAAGAAATTATTTATTCCTTCTTTATGGGATATTACTCAACATTTGAATGTAAGGAAATATATTTGTTGACTTGTCATGTTTTAAAAAATGGAGTGTTGAGATTATTGATTAAATTTTATGTTTGTTTCAATGTTTCCCCCCCCCCCC